CGGGTCTAACCTCACACTGTTATTCATATCTCGTTCTACTTCTCTTTCCATCAACCACGCGCTATAATCGACGGATCGATCATTGGACTTCATTTTGCTGTAGTATTGTCTTTGATTGACTGATCCGCTTCGGATCCAATAATGTAAGTAATTTTTTTATGTTTGTTATGTTAGCAATCACTTTTCAGATTCATGAACAAGCCCTTCGATCGCAAACAACCCCCATCGATTGCGACTGGCTATCGATTCAAGACTATGGCAGGGAGGGGGAACAGCAAGAAGCGACGCATGTCGTCACCCACCTCCTCAACTACAAATGCCCCTGCTAGGTCCAAGCAACGATCGAAAAAGAACAGGACTCATGACGTGATTGATTTGGCTAAGTCCGATGAGGGAACGAGCCCTAGTACTAGCGACCGAGACGACGGGTCTCCTGAAAGCACTCAGGCTTCCAACACCAAGGAACTCACTGATGAACAAGAGCTGAGTAAGTTGTCTTTGAGTCTTCATCAGTGTCCTGACCAACTTGATCAATCAAAAGCAATCAAAAGACTAATATATCTCAATGTCTTATTTTTTTTAGGAAAGGCACTGAGAATTCATAAGAACCAACTCAGCCCCTCCTATGCTTCTTTCCACCCCCCAGAACTGTCTGACCAGAAGGACAAAAAGAAAAATCTGGGAGAAAATGAAGGTCTTATTATTACTATTTACAATCACTTAGGTCACTTAGTTTAGAAATACAAATCTCTGAAATGAAAATACAAGAAATTTATCTCCTGTATCTCTCCAAATAAGCTTGCATACTTGCAAGTACTTGCCACAAGTATGCAAGTACTTGCTTTGTAATGCCCCCACAAGTACAAGTACAAGTATGGGTGTCTGAAATCTGAGATTTTTCATGCAAGTACTTGTACTTGTCGAAAGTATGCAAGTATGAGGGGCCATCTCTAGTGTCAGGTTCGGCTGCCGGAGCTGTCAAACCAGGTCTCCAGCAGATGGATCCATCATGACCCAACTGTCACACCGCCACCACAAAACAACTTACCCTTGCGGCGGGATGACAGTCGAGTTGGGACCGCATGCATGCATGGCAGCGGCCAGACCGGATGGTCGGCCCTGACCAAGCGTCAGCAGTCAGTATGACTGCTAGGCCAACCCGCCCGCATGCCCAACAGGGGATTGACCGCTGGGTCAACCCCGCCTGCATGAAGACCGGCGGGATGACCGCTGGGTCAACCCCGCCTGCATGAAGACCGGCGGGATGACCGCTGGGTCAACCCCGCCTGCATGAAGACCAGCGGGATGACTGTTGGGTCGGCCCCGCCGCAAGGGACACGGTTGTGATGACCCCACAATCATGCCAACAATGTTTACATGTGGTGGGCTGACAACTCAGTCATCCCAACTGTCGGTCAACCGACGGACCCACGAAGGCCCGCGGTCAACGACCTGACAACGGGTGGCTAACCCGGAGGAGCTTAAAGTGCTCTGGTGGTGTATGTATAGCAATAAGAAATTGAATGGTGGGACTAGGAATGTGGGAGTTTTAGCTTTCCAATTGCTCAGGATCAAAAAAGCTGAGGGGCCAGGCCTGTCAAAAAGCTCTTCTGAATTTATTCAAACTCAACACCTTTCACTTTGCCAAAAAAATTCTCCTAAAAATCAAAACCCTTATAAAAAATTAAAACTAACAAAAGAACAGTTTCTCTCCTCTTCTCTCTTCTGTCTCGGTGTCCTTTCCCCTTCCTTCTCTTCTTCTTCCTTCCAACCTCGTTATCTTAGAGCTTTTCTTCTTTTCCCTTTTATAAGGTTTTTACCTTATTGGGCCCGCATAGTTTTTACTATGCCTCCCAAACGTATCGTCTTGCATGACAATATGGAAGACATCGATTCTTCCAATCCTTCCCCTACCCACACTCCGACCCAACATGATTTCTCTCACAATCCCTCCCTCCACCAATCCCAGCACAATCCCGTTAATGATTTTCACATTAACGGTTTTTTTTTCAATTTATGTTGGACCTCCTCTCCCACCCTGAACCTGATGGAAGTGTAATTATCACGGCCGATAGGGTTGAAGTTGCTGCTAGTCTTCTCGGTGTAGAAAAACTAGTTTCAACTCAAACTGGCTAATCTTGAGAAGATCACATCCCGTCTCGATTCAATCGAGAAATCTATTCATTCTCCCCCCACAACTAAGAGAGCTACTGTCACTGCTTGGACTAGCGCTGTCAAAGAAAAGCCTAACCATGTCCTCGTTCAACCAGTTATCCGCCCTCCCCCACTGAAGAAAATAATCAATGAATTCAAACCTGCTTCATTTGTTATTTGTAAAACTGTCCCCGACTCCCGCCCTTTTTTTCAAAAATCTCCATGTGAAATCACAAGAATAACTAATTCTGTCCTGTTGGACATTGAAGCTAAGACCGATGATAACACACCAATCATCATTAAGGGGGTTGCAACCCTTCCTTCAGGAGACTTGAAGTTTTTCACTCAATCCCATTTTGCAGCCAAGTGGCTCCTCAAACAAAAGCACAAGTGGACCCACTTGTGTGATCCTACTGTTGTTACTCCCCCCTCCTCCTTCCCGGTTATTTTCCACTCAATGCCGATTTCATTCACCCCTTCCAATCAATTGTCAATTTTGGAATTATGCAAAGAAAATAATATCAATTCTAAAGATATTCTCTCTATCCAATGGCTTGGTGACCCGCACAATAAAAAACAATCCCATGGATCATTGATTATTAATCTTTTTGATAAGAACCTTGCTCAAAAAGTTGAGAAAGGTGGTCTGTTCTATAAGTTCCTATTCCTGAGAGGTGCCCATTATAAGAAGTCTCCCTTACAATGTTTCCAATGTCTTGAAGTTGGCCACACCGCTCAACTCTGCAAAAATCCTCCAATGTGTAAACTTTGTGGTGATAACCACAACTCTAGAGATTGTACCTCCAATGACAAAAAAGATTCATGTGCCAAATGCATCCAGTTTGAAAAAAAGTCTTGATCTTCCCACTGGAGTGGATGAAGATAACATTTGATTCCGCCATTCCCCCACCAGCATTAAGTGTCCCTGAAAATCCAAATCCCTCCGCAAAAATATTCATAATCATGTATAATTACACCGACAACAACCCAAATTCAGCTTTTCCCATTTCTCCTCCCTCATTCCCTTCTTCTCCTTTGCCAACTTCATCAGAATCCTCAGAACCAATGTTTAAAATTTTCCAGCTTAATTGCCATAATTCATTTGATGTCACCTTCAGTGTTCTCAACACTGAAGTAGAATCTTCAATTCTAATCCTTCAAGAACCTTGGACTTAATCTTCCGTTCCATTCCAATTGGCTCTGTCTTCTTGACCACAATCACTCCGCCTCCTCTTATCAGAATAAACATCGTTGTTGTTTTTTGATTAATAAAAAATATAGCTCGGATCAAATCCATCCTCTTCCAGGAGGCTCTTGCATTTTCTCAGCTGTTGACATCAACATCGACATCAACAACATCCAAAAAATTCGACTCATCAATGTATATAATCCTCCCAAAAACTTTGACACCCTCCCTGAACTCGAATCCTGGTTAATCAACTTCAACAATCAAAAAATCCCATCATTCATCTACATCGACTCTAACCTCCACAACAAACTCTGGAACCCCTCTAACTATCCTCACTCTCACAACAAATCCAAATTTCTCATCAAAATCTGTGGTCGAAATGGATTCAAAATCATCTCTCAAAAAGGAATACCAACTTCTTCCTCCAATCATGGATCAGATCATCAATCTATCCATCTTGTTCTCAACTTTCAGTCCAATATTCAAATCAACAACCAATTATCTTGTGACCTTGAAAAAATCGATCCCAAAAAATTCTGCTCCAATCTGTCAAACCAAATAAAAAAAATTCCTCTCTTTTGCTAAATAACTCCCATGATATTGACATCATGGTAGAAAAAATAACTATCTCTTTTCAAAATTCCATTGACTCTCAAAAAAAACTTGTTAAAAATAATAAAAATAAAATAAAACCCTGGTGGGATAGTAAAATTCTTGCTCCCATTGCAGAAAAAAGAAATTGGGCTAGGAAATGGATGCTACTATCCAAATCCGCTAACTCTTGTGATTGCTTTAACCAATGGCAAACCATCTTCAAGGAAAAGGTTTTTGAGCTAAAAAGGAATCACCAGAGAAAGTTCCTTGCTGAATGCAATGACTTCCAACTCTTCACAGCTTACAAATACACCAAACCAAACAGTAGCGGCAATGTCGCACCCCTGATCAACAACCAGAATATTCTCACCTCCAAAAAAGAAGAACAGGCTTCCCTCCTCTTCAAAGGAACATCCGACGCGCCCATTGA